TCTACAAGGGCAACAGCGCTTTTAACCACAGAGCCATCTCTCCAGCCCCAAACATGAATCAGACATACTGTCTTCTGACCCCTAAGCATCCTCTGGCATGTCTGAGAATAGTCATAGAAAAATCAGAAGCTCTCCTTTGCATCCCAAATGCTTCTGGGATTCCTCTATATCCAAATGGAGTCAAAACCAAATGCCTACATTGTTCCTCTCCCAGGATTCAGTCACAAAAATTGAAATGTTATTTCCTGCTATGAGCATCTCCGTGGATGTTTTTTTGTTTTTGTTTGTTTATCAGGACAAGGTTTCTTTGTGTATCCCTGACTGTCTTGGAATTTACTCTGTAGCTGGCCTTGAGCTCACAGAGATCCATCTGCCTCTGTTTCCTAAGTGCTAGGATGTGCCACCACCCATCTCTGAGCCTGTTTTTATCTCAGTGGGAAAAGGTTGCTCTCCTAGAAAGCTCCTAAAATAAACAAACAAATAAATGAAACCTGAATTAGTAAGCTGCTGAGTTCAGAAAAGAGACATGTTTGCATGAATAGTGCTTACTTGTTTTTTAAATCACCATTCAGTTAAAAGTCCAAATGTACGGGAGTTTTTTCCTTGGGATCTAGTGTTCAGGAATGTCTCATTAACTGGGGCGTTATCTGATACTCAGGGTGGCTCTGCCTACTGTAATTAGACTGGAAAGAGTTAGCAGTTACAGTATAATAAGGCAGAAGTAAACAAATCATAGTGTTAGAACAGTGGGGAGCACAGTCTGGCTGGAATAGTCTGGCTGGGTCAGCATATAAAGCCAAGAGGTGTTGAACCATGAAGAGAAGAGAGTCAGCATTTGCAGTGTACCCATTTGCTTTTCCCATTCCCCCTGAGGGGTCTTCTAGGAAGATAGAAGGAAGGAAAGGAAGAAAGAATAGAAATGGGCAAATAAATGGCTGCAGCACAGCAAAGTCTTAGGGTGCAGGACTTGGAGCAACCATTTGTGCATTACTGTTATTATTAGTATCAACGTGGCCACCTCATATCTGATTGCCCATACAGCCAGCAGTCAACTCTGTGCCAGCACTGGCCCATTTCCCAGTGAGGGCTATCATGGTTAGTTTTAATTGTCAACTTGATGTAATCTACAGTCATTTGAAAATGGAGTCTCTTGTTTGTTTGTTTTGGGAGACAGGAACTTGCTCTGTAGAGGAGGCTGACCTCAAACTCACAGAGATCCACCTACCTCTGCTTCCCGAGTGTTGGGATTAAAGGCTTGTGCCACCATGGCAGGGCTGGAAATGTAGTTTTAATCAAGGATTCCCTAGTCTGGCCTATGGGCATGTGATAGGTGATGTCTTAGGGTTACTGTTGCAATTATGAAACACTATGACCAAAAGTAAGGGGCAAACTGGTTTATACTTCCACATCATGGTCCCTTATTGAAAGAAGTCAGGGTAGGGACTCAAACAGGACAGGAACCTAGAGGCAGGAGCAGATGTAGAGGTCAGTGAGGGGTGCTTTTTTTTTGGTTTGCACATCATGGCTTGCTTTCTTACAGACTATAGAATCACCAGCCCAGAGACAGCAGCGCTTACAATAGGCTGGGCCCTCCCTCAGCAACCACTAATTAAGAAAATGCCTCACAGCGGTATCAGATAGAGGAATTGTGTTTGTTTGTTTGTTTGTTTGTTTTTGAGGCAGGGTTTCTCTGTGTGACCAAGGCTGTCCTGAAACTCACTCTGTAGACCAGGTTGGCCTCAAACTCAGAGATCCATCTGCCTCTGCTTCCCAAGTGCTGGGAGTAAAGGCACGAGCCACCAATACCTGGCTTTTTGATTGTTTGTTTGGTTTTTGTTTTTTGACAAGGTTTCTCTGTGTAACTTTGGCTGTCCTGGACTGGCTGTCCTGGACTTACTTTGTAGACCAGACTGGCCTTGAATCCACAGCAATCTGCCGGCCTCTGCCTCCATGTGCTGGGATTAAAGGCATGCACCACCATGTCAGGCAGAGGCATTTTAACTGAGGTTCTCTCCTTTCAGATGACTCTAGCCTGTGTCAAGCTGACATAAAACTAGCCTGCACAGGTGGGAAGGCTACACCAATCTGTGGATGGGATCCTGGACTGTGTACATGTAGAAAAGGAACTGAGCAGAAATGTGTCCATTGCTGTCTGCTTCTTGAGTCTGAATGTAATGTGACCAATTTTCTCAAACTCCTTCCATTGTGACTCCTCTGCCATGATAGACAATAACCTGGAACTGTGGACACACTGAGCACTTCTGTCAGGGAATCCCAGCAACAAGACATGGAACTAAGATAGATATTGGAAGGTCAAGTGTGGTGGCACAACCCTTTAATCCCAGCCCTCTGGAGGCAGTTAGGTGGATCCCTGTGAGTTTGAAGCCAGCCTGGTCTACAGAGCTTAGTTCTGTGTAGCTAAGACTATACAGAGAAACCCTGTCTCAAAAAAAAAAAAAAAAAAAAAAAAAGATTTATCAGAAGTGGAGATGTTTCTGTGATAGCCCTGAACATGTGGCCTTTGGAATTGTTTTGTGGGAAGAGTGTGGAAGAAATTGGAACTTTAGACTAGAAAGTCCATTGAAAGCTGTTAAATTAATGGGAGATTAATGGGTCATTCTGGTAGGACCTGGGAAGACAGTAATGCCGAGGGAAACACAACAGAGGAGGCCTGGCTCAGGAGATTTCACAGGGGAACAAGGACTGTGTCAGGATCCATGCCAGGGGCTAGTCTTGTGGTATTTTGGCCAACCATCTGGTTTTTCTGGCCATGTCCAGAGAACTTGAATGAAGCTGAATTTAGAGATGATGGACTAATTTCTTTGACAGCGGAAAAGTATATAGACAAGCTCAACATTTTAGAGAAGAAGAGTGCAGTCAACCAAGAAGCCATAACTGTGAAAGAGACTGAATGGAATCACTAAAGAGAAACCTGGCACTCTGCACTGTGAAAACAGAAAATTATCTCTTCAGGGTCAGCACACAGATGCTGATATAGCTGTGATCCAAGAGAGCTAGGATATATCTCGGGCTGGCAGCATAACTTGACAATACTATCCAAGTAGTACCGGTTTTGATGGCAAAGATGTAAGACTGAGGAGGTCACGGAAAGCCACTGAAGCCAGACACTGTGTGGCAGGGTCACAGTGCCTGAGCAGCCACTGTGTGAAGCTATGAAGGTGAAACCTACGCTGCAGTGGATACCCTAGGATTTTGGAGATGCCAGGGTCATCTGGAGATGGCCAGGATCTGCCAAGAATATTGGCAGGTGTGGAGTGGAGCTTGCTGGAAAGTTAAGCTGTGTGAGCTACAAGTAGAGGATCTGCCCAAGCTCCTCAGACCATAGCCAATTTTATTCCAAGCCACAGATGATACATACTTCAAGATTTAGTGTTTGATCTGCTGGATTGTTTTGATCATTCATTGCTATGCCCTGACCCTTCCATTTTGAAATGGAAACGCTTATTCTCTATCAGTGTATGATAACATTGTTATTATTATTATTGGAACCCACAGTTGAAGACTTTGGACTTTTAAAGTGTTAGAATTTTAAAAGTTGGATTGTTTTACATAGCGTTAAACATGAGATTTTTGGAAAGGAGTGAAAGTTTAAAATTACAACTTTAAGTGATGTGTTTGTGTGTCAGATTACAAGTGGTAGAGTTGTCAGTTTGTGTTGTCAACTTTACACAAGCTAGAATCACTTGGAAGGGTATTCAAAGTCTTAGGGTGGGCTGTGGGCATATATGTGAGGCATTATCTTAATTAGTTAATATAGGAATATAGGAAGACCTATCCACGATGGTTGGCAAGAGATCCTGGACTATACACTGGGAGTATAGAAAAAACTGGGAGTAAGCATGCATCAATACATTATTCTCTGCTCTTTTTTGGTGTTTGTTTTTCCAAGACAGGGCTTCTCTGTGTAGCCTTGGCTGTCCTAGGCTCGCTGACCAGCTCACAGAGATCTGCCTGCCTCTGCCTCCCCGAATGCTGGGATTACAGGTGTGCACCACTGCGTCCTGCTATCCTTTGCTCTTGACTGTGGATGTAATCCACACTGCTGCTATGACTTCCCTGCATTAGATTGTGTCTGAGTTACTTTTCTACTGCTGTGAGGAGACACTACGACTATTGTAACTTATAAAAGAAAGCATTTCATTAGAGACTGGTTTATAGTTTCCCAGGGTGCATCCATGACCATTATGGTGATGAGCATGGCAGCAAACAGGCAGCATGGTGTTGGAGTAGTAGCTGAGAGCTTACATGTTGAAACCACCACCAGGCAGAGAGAGGGACAAGGCTTCTGAAATGTCAGAGCTCATCCCCAGTGACACACCTTCCACAGTAAAGCCACACCTCCTAATTCTTCCCTAAACAGTAAAAACTGGGAACCAAACATTCAAATATATAAGCCTGTGGGGACCATTATCATTAAAACCACCATGGATTCTAACCTGAAGCATGAACCAAATAAACCTTCTTCTCCCGTAAGTGGCTTTTGTCAGGGCATTTTTATCACAGCAACGGGAAACAAAACTGAGACAGGAGCATAAATCCCCAATGGGATCCACCACTTCTCAGAGTTGGCACTGGAACAACAGGCCTCCCAATAAAGGCAGACCCTCCTCGGCAGCTGACTCTCAGTGCCCCTGGTCAGTGCACTTTTTGTTGTTGTTTTGTTGCTCATGTCACCGTAGGCTGGGGAAGAGGGTCCAGGCTTCCCTAGGCAGTGACTGTGGGACACCAGAGGTGGCAGAAGAGAAGTGAAGAATCATGGGAAAGGGAGCATACCCTGCACTGTTATCAGGGTTCTAGAGAGCAGAGAACTTTCCCACGACTTTAAAACGATCCTGGGAAAGTAAAAGAGTAGTGTAAATAAGAAAGGGGAAAACGGGAAATGATTACTAGCACAGGTTTTTACCCTCCAAGATGAGTCACAGGGGCCACCTGCTTAAGTCTAAATTCTTGTATATCAGGACAAAGAACTGTATCAGAGATACATAGTCAACAATTGAGGCAATTTATTTAAAAATTTACAAAGACACTCAGGAGGTTGGGAATGAGCTAGTAATCTGGAGAAATGCATAAACTCGAGTCCTTAGCCAGGAATCTCATGACCCTTTATAGGCTATTTATATACCACCTGCCTTCTGTAGGCCAAGTTTTTCTCATGCCTGCTTGCTTCATACAGTAGCCCAGACAGGGAAGGGTTTGCAGGCACTATCAACTGCCTTGAGTTTATGTGTCCGGGTGGTTTTTGTGTATGTTTGTGCGGTACACGTGTGCAGTCCTCGTGAGACCAGAAGAGGGCGTCGGACGGTACTGGAACAACAGAGTACTGTTAGCCGCCATGTGCCAGGAATTGACCCAGAGTCCCCTGAAAAAGCAGTCAGTGCTTTTAACCGCTGACCCTTACTCTTATTATGTTTTTCTCTACATATCCTTACTCTTCTGTCACACTTGCTTTGTGCTAGAGTTTGGCGGTTGGAGGCGGGGTTGCATATTCAATTAACTAGAAACCAGACAGGTCCAGGTCTTGAAGCATAAAAACTAACTGGGAGAAAAAGGCATTTTAAGCCAAGCGCACGTACAGACCTTCAAAATCTCCGAATTTGTCAGCCTGGCAAGTTCCGGTCAGGAAAGGGGAACGGTTGACACTGCGGAGACAGAAGTAACCTTCAAACTGGGGGCGCACGAATTGCAGTCTGCAGTTGGGAAGAGAGACATGGAGGTTAAGCTGCTCAAGTCACCGTAACGTGTCAGAGGAAGCGCCTAGCGCCCAGGGCCACAGTGAAGGGCAGAGGGCCGGGGCCAAGGGTTGGATCTCTCAGGCCGTGGGGCGGGGTGGCCGCGCGAAGCGCTCTGGGAGTGGTAGGCGCTTTCTTTCCGCTCTCCTTCAGCTACTCGCTCTGGGCGCCCAAGGACGTCCAGACGGTGGGCGCAGCTCCTAGCATTCTGCGACTTGGAGACTCTTTCCCTGGCGGAGCCCACCCCTCGCCCTCTTGCGCGCGGCAGCTTACAACAGGCTTCCGGTGTGCGGCATTGTGGGCATTGTAGTCCGCTCGCGACTACATCGCGACTACATTCCCATCGCGTAAAGAGCGGCTCACCGGACTACGTTTCCCTTCGGCCCGCGCGCGCCCCGAGCCGCGTCGGCTTCAGCCCCGGAGGAGCCGAGGATCTCCAAGATGGCCGCGTGGGGAAGGAGGCGTTTGGGTCCGGGCGGCGGCGGCTCCCGAGAGAGGTAAGCTGGGCTCGCGACCGCAGGTGTAGGCCGACCGCAGAGTCGGCGAGGCTTCTGTGCGGCGCGCGACTCTGGATCGTGTGCCTGCCGCGTGCAGGGCCCAGTCCGCGGAGGCTTGGGTGTGGGAGGAGCGGCGGGTTGGCGCGACGGCCCAGGAACGAGGGGAGCGCGAAAAGGAGGGGCGGCGACCAGCACCAGGAGAGCGGTGAACGGGGGTGAGCGGCTGCGGGGTCCGCCACGCTATCCTACGGAGCGACGTGCGAGCTCTGGGCCGCCGGCTCGCGCACGTGGCTGTCTCGGCCTGGGCGCCCAGGGTGGCGTGGATGGCTCCTGGGAGAGGAGGAGGGTAGAGATCGCGGGGCGGCGTGCTGTAGGGGCGTTTGCTGAGAGCAGCAACGTGCCGGGCGCGCCTCCAGGAGCCTGTGCCTGGCCGCCTGCGGAGCGGCAGTCATCGCCACGCTTTGTGGGTTCTCTTCAAGCGCTTCTGCCCTAAGTCCTTTAAAGTGACCTTTTCTACTGAATGTGTTTGGGGGCGCTAGGGGTGTGTTTCTTCCAGTGATTTCCCGAGGACAAGAGTAGTTGGCGTGTTTCATGTTGAACTTGTAGATTTTTCCCCCCCTCCGGGAAGTGTTTTTAACTGGCAGGTTACTAGAAACTAAACTGTTCAGCCACTAGAAGTTTGAAGAGGTGGGTGAATGTCGGTGGCGCTAATGGATTAACTTGCCCAGTTTTATTAAGTCCTCCACATTTGACTGTGGATGTCAGAAGAAAAGAAAGTTTGCCCCCCCCCTTTTTTCGATGAGTGCTGTTAACCATAAAAGTTATGTCTCAACTAATCTGCGTTGTTCCTTTTTGACTGATGCATCCCATGTTCCTTGCTATTGCCTACAGAGAGCTTTCCCATCCCACACGATTCTTCTTTCTGCTTGGCAACTGATTGCTAGCGTTTTCTTGAGCTTATACAAAACAATCCATTCTGCCTTTACCGTTTTTATGGAAAAGCAGTGGCAAGGAAGGAGTGGTTTTTCTAACTTCCACTAATTTCTTAGATAAGAACACTAAAAAAGAGGTTATCTTGATGTCTTCCACGTCCTTAAATCTTAAAGAATGATTTCAGGATTTTAATTTCAGCCTCTTAATAACAAGGAAGGACCTTCCTAGAAAACTCAGGATCAGACAAAGCTATGCTTTGTTTGTTTTTAGAGTCGGGGTCTCACTATGTAACTTTGGCTGTCCTGAAACTCACTCTGTTGCCCAAACTGACCTTGAGCTCACAGAGATCAGCCTGCCTCAGCCTCCCAGAGCTAGTATCAAAGGTGTGTACACCACACCCTACAATACCACACCCTGCCATACTCTTAATCTTGGATACAGAGGGAAAGGACCAAACATGGATGCCTCCCTCGATCATGGGACAGGAAGAGCCTTGCAAGACTACCTAAGAAAATAGAAAAGTTTGTCAGCCAGCCACCCATAGTATGAGTCCAGTCCTTGGTGATTGAGCTTCAACAGCTTTAATGGAATTTAAATTAAATGAAGACACATTTTACTATAAAACTAGATAGTGGCTGACTCTCTTCAGAACAACTGCTGTTTGGTTCTCACCTGACATCTGGACTGATTGAGGTTATCTCCCTGGGTCCTGTAGGTAGGTGTTCAGGTTGTGACCTTTGGCCAGGAGCTGAAGGTTCTGCCTTCAGTGCAGATGTGTGCTTGCCAGGAATGGGATACCTGATTTTATGATCTGAGAGTTGCCATCTGCCCTCCTTCTAGGTAGTGTGTAGTGACTGGGGGTGACCCCTCTGTTTGCCTTTGTGGGAAGGCCCTTCCCAAAGGACTCAGTCTCAGGGTTCCATCTCCTTAAGGCCCTCCCACTCTCAGCAGTGCATGGAAACCTAACCCCCTCCTGGCTAGCAAGCTGACTTCTGGGCACACCTCCATTCCTGCTCACTTGGTGGCCTGACTGGGTGGAGCAAGCCAGAATAATTGTATGCTCAGCACCATAGATTTTGAGGACTGAGAGTATTATTGGCTCTCATGACACAAGTAAGCTGTTTATGGATCCTAAGTGACTTTGTTCCATGTCACATTTGGCCTGACTCAAATTTCAGCTTCATGTTAAGAACACTGCCAGAGTTGCTCACACCTTCCTGTCTGCCCCTACACTGAAACTGAAGGAGATGCTATGTGGTCTGGGGCGAGGGCTGGAATGGGCATTGCTCTGAACAGACATCGTATTTGCCAGTGGCTGCATTCTCTGGAGCATATGTTGTATTTAAGGCCCTGCGTGGTGCTGACTGGCAGCTTAGTGTGTAATGGTTCTTGCTTTTCCTGCTTCTTAAGTCCAGAAACAAGCTAGTCCTAGAGCAGAGTGACAATTACAGCAGTTTAGTAGCTGCCACCATATGTGGTGATTACATTGAAGTTAAAGTTAAATACACTGAAAAGTTTATCTCATAGATCATAGACCATGTTTCACATGCCCAAAACTCACTGTGGCCTAATGTCTAAGCATAGAGAGAACTTTTTCATCAGTGCAGTAGATAGGGACAGTACTGCTCTAGACTGAAATTGGAAGGGGAGAGGAGCAAACTGAGAGCTGCTTGTGTGTTGATTTTTTTTCTCCACTCCATTAAATCTAGGGAAACAACAGTATTTGTAATGAAGAACATCAAACTCTGAGCTGTAACCTGAATTCTTGTCCAAAGTTGAGCATACTGACAGCGAGCACAGCAGATTGCCGTTTGTCCCGCTGGCCTCTGAGGCATACTTACCCATCTAGGAAAGCAGAGCAGGTATCTGTATTCTGCCACGTGTGTGCCAGCCTGGACCAACTCTCAGACAGCCCTGCCTATCCTTTCTTGGGCTACTCGGTGCTGCTCTCAGCGCCCCTGAGCATCCCTGAGATCTCCATGGTTGTTGGAATGTGAGTATAGCCCTGTACTCCGAGTGCCTTTTCTGATGATCTTGTGAAGGTCCTTGATCTGTATCTGATCATGATACAGGGTGGCCTGGGGTATTCACATTTCCTTCCCCTCTTCTGTGTGTTTGTTAGGCAGCCAGTTATCTTGGGGTTAGATGCCTCCATTGCCTTTCCTGCCACTTTCTCTTCGAAGACCATGTCATTTGTGAATACGGGGGGGGGGGGGCGACAAGGTCCCAGTGGCCAGTGTAGGGTTAGTACCTACTCCAGCAGAACAGTCATGTGGACAGGTTGGTTTACATTCCTAGCTGATAAATAGACCCCATTTCTCCTCTGACCTTCCCTTTTACAGTTGGGGACTCCAGAGATTTGAAGCATTTACTATGTCAAAAAGTTCCCATTCTAGCTTTTGTATGTGGTAGGATTCTTCCTCCTGGTCTGGATGAGATGAACAGGCCTGGGACATACACCAAAGTCAATCTATAGCCACGGGGTCGGGCTATAGGGGGTGGAGGAATTCTGCCACATGCTCTGCTCACAGACCTGAATGTATAAGTCTACCATTCTGCCGTTGTCCAGCCTTTGGGGTGTATTTCTATTTTCCTGGGTTTTACTCAAGTAGTCTGGGTTCTGCTTACTTTGATATCTGCTTTCTATGGTTCTGTTCTGCAAGCTCATTCCAGTGGATCCCACCCACCTCTGAGAAAGGTAGGGTTGGCAGTGTCCAGGGAGGAGCAACAGCCTGAGGCCTCTGCTTAGCTTGAGTTTGCCGTGGCTTGCTTCAGTGGGCGAAAAGCTGTGGCTGGGTTGGAAAGTGTGATTCATGAGCCAGCAACCCACAAGGAACATTCATGCTGCCTCTGTTTTGGGTCCTTGTGCCGACAGCAACTTGAATGGGCACAGAGTTCCTGGGGGAAGCCAGTAACCGCTGAGTTCTCACCACAGTTCTTCAGGTGAGAACTGTGCAGAAGATCTGCATGTCTCCCGGCTGTGGGGCTACTCGTTGCCTGTGTCTGTTTTTGTGTCAGAGGGATGAGGCTTTTACTCTATCAGTGTGTTTTGCTCCTGCCCTCCCACCCAGCGAGGTCCTCACACTCCTGCAGTACCCTGGGAGCCCAGGGAAACTGGCTTAGGGTAGCAGGGTGTTATGCCCTTGGACTTAAATGAGAGTAACTCTGAAGTGGGGGCAACAGAAAGGGAGGGTGGAGGAAATGGGGCAGGTGGAGGGTCAGGAGATACTCAGAATACATACCTGTGAGAGCACTAAACATTTGTGGGCTTGTTTTGTGTTTTTTTTGTTGTTGTTGTTTTTTGTTTTTTTGTTTTTTTTTTTTTTTTGAGGCAGGGGTTCTCTGGGTAGTCCTGGCTGTCCTGGAACTCACTCTGTAGACCAGGCTAGCCTCAAATTCAGAAATCTGCGTGCCTCTGCCTTTTGAGTGCTGGGATTAAAGGTGTGTGTCACCAACTCCCAGCAAGATTTTTTTTTTCTTTCTTTTTCCCCCCAAGATTTGTTTTAAGGGTGTGTTTGCATGAGTGCCCATGTGAGAGAGCACTTGTGAAGTCCAGAAGAGAGGAGTTGCCAGGGGCTGCGAGCTGCCTTGTGTGGGTGTTGGAAACTGGTGTTCTCTAGAAGGGTGGTGCTGCAGTGGCAGCTAAGGGTCTCCTGGCTGTATAGTGCTGCCTCTGTCCTACAGTCCCGCTGAGAAGGGGACTGTTTCATTCAAGCAAGCCCAGTACCATTTGCCCTGGTGACTGAGAAGCCCTCTGCTCCAGCAGTAAGGATGTGCAGGCCAAGTGGGGAAATGGCTTCAGCATTTAGGAGCGCTGGCTGCTCTTCCAGAGGACCTGGGTTTTCCACATGGAGCCTCATGGCTGTCTGTTCCAGAGCATTTATGGTCCTCTTCTAGCCTCCTTGGGCAAAACACCCACATACTAAATAAAATAAAATGTGTCTCTATATCTCTGTGTGTGTTCAGAGATGGCTCAGTGGTGAAGAGTAGTGTGATGGTTGAGGTGGCTTAGTCCTAGCATTTGGAAGACAGACAGATGGATCTGAGTTTGGGGTCGGCCAGTGCTG